CGCTTTCGTCGTATCCCTTTTCACTCTCCAAGGGATACTCGAGTCCTGCTTATCTCGCTTTTCCTCTTGTTTCACTGGTCTTCTGACCTTGTCCCTCCCCCCCCCCCCCCCCCAAATCGGAAACTCTTTGGGATTCCCCCAGGAATTCACAACCTTACAGTACGCTCTTTCTATATTGCCATCGGACACAACACGAGCATTCGCGAGGCGTCCGAAACGTGGATGGCTGGAAGAGCTTGGATAGACGAAATTGCCACGACAAGCACAGCTAATTCTAATTACCCAAACACGTTATGTATTTTATTAACACAACTGTCGTTAAATACTAAATGGACACCAGAACAACTAGCAGCTTACCGAACACAACATTACAACACTAAAACCGGCTATCTTTTAACTTCTAACAACATATAATCTGGAACGTCCCAATATATCTTCAGTCTATCACGTCCGTCTAAACCCCCCCCCCCCCCCCCCCCGTCTGTTCTTTGGCGAGCATTTTTGTTACCTTTTCCCTGCTTCTTCGAGACCTTGCAAAAGTCGTAGGTCCTCTAGTAAAGCGTTCCATTCAGCCCTGCGTCAATGCCACTCACGACATATTTTCACCTGAAGGGTGAATAAGGCCGAGTGTACAGATCATAGCTACTACTAGATCCGTGGTCGGTCTGACCTGCTCTTCCCTTGAGTTTGCGTGACCTGTCGGGTCAGTTAAATAGATTCTGTCCAAATCGTCATCACCATTATCTTTCCATCACATAGCTATATAGGCCTATGACATTCACACTTATGATTGAGTCCGGCTAGGAAACTGTGATTGGACGTTCTTTTTGAGACACGCATGTTTATGTGACAGGGGTGTTAGCTTGGTCGACGCTTTTACCGGTGACGACGCGTGCTCTATTACAGGATGTAGGTGCTTTTAACCACCCCATAACATGTACAACTGGCCCTAACGCCCCCCCCCCTCCCACTTCCCCTCCTTTTACACTACACACTGAACCCACGAGAAAGTTCATTCCACAGCAGTACACCGGAACACCCCTCTAGCTTTGGGCAACGTAGACCAGCCTGGCCAATCATCAGTGAAACGTGACCCAGCCTAGTGAATAGATGGGCGGAACTAGGCCGAAGTTCGTTCCTTGTTTCAAAATATGTAAGGAAGCAAGCAGCGCCAACATCCAACCATGCATAGAAGTTATCAGATTAAATATTTCCCTCCCCCCACCCTCCCTCCCCAACACAGTATAATACCTCTGATGTCAAAAAATAATAATGAAATATGCCTCCAGGGTGCATCGAAAGAGAGGGAGAATAATGGACCCACCCCGATCGATACAAGCGGTAACGACCCCGCAAGCTCCAGACCGAGATTTGGTCTGAGAACGCATGCAGAAAGAGAATGAAATGCGAGAGTGCGCCACGCAGTAAGCCTCGGCGCATAGTTACTCCTGTAGTTAATTAGTCATCAGGGAACGACGGGCTGTGTGAACTCCACTCGCCCAGAGAGGTCCAAGACGTCGATTACGGAGGCGCACATTTTGTTGCTTTTTGACGAAGTACGTTCGATGATCAAGTTTCCACCTGTAAGCAATAGGGTGTCGTGGTGCCAGCTGGAGGGTTCACTACGCGAGAAAATTAACGATTAAAGAAAAAGTCGCTAGGTGACAAGCTAACACGGTTTAGTGATATTATATACAATTACTGTCCCCGTGAATTCGGGACAGTCGAGAACACGCAGCTGTCACTCAAGGGAAAAGCAGAAGGGAAAGCGAAATTTAAAAGTGCAGAGCAGACAAGAACGCACCCAGAAAACGGTTCAAAACCGCTACAGGCACACAATAGAAGGGACTTACCAGGTATGGTTACACCTGAGAGCCAGACACAGTGCCCTCTGTCGAGCTGAGCATTTTTGTACGAACAGAAGGAGAAACAAAAGCGAAAAAATTCTTTACGGACTAGTTCTAGTCCGCCCGTTGTCTGATCGAGCAACCAAAGTCTGGTACTCTGGTGGTCGGTCAGATGAGCCGGAGTCACATCTATAGAAGATATACTAAGCTCGGACAAGGAATGAGCCTTCTCGATGATAATCCAGCAGCCTGAAGTGGCCTGATGAAGATACCCTTCAAAACGATGCCTCCCTCTTGGCCTAAGGTCAAAGAGGCTGCGAAGAGAACCAGAGGCAAATCTGCCCCAGGGCCCAACCGTGTGCCGTATGTCGTATACAAACCTTGTCCGAAAGTCCTCCAAATGCTTCACCGTTTGCTAAGATTGGCGTGGAGCCGATGTACTCAGTGGCAGAGAGCCAACCAGGTCTACATTTCCAAGGAAAGAAACTCCTCGAGCCTTTCCTAATTCAGACCTATCTCGTTGAATTTTGAGGGCAAGATATTCTTCTTGGTTATGGCTCGCAGGCTCACACAGTATCTGATGGCGAACAAATAAATCGATACTTCTGTTCAGAAAGGATGGAATCACGGGCGTCCTCGGTTCCTTTAACACAATCTGGGAGTCTGTTTATAGGGGCCAAGGCAGAGAGAACCCAATTGCACGTGATATTGTTGGACCTTGTCAATGCCTATGGAGCGGTATCCCTTTATCTGTTGTAGCAGGCCCTTCGCATGTTCCACGTACCGACACAGATCACCAAAATGATCGAGCAATATTTCTCAAAGTTCGCCATACGCTTCCCTACCCCGACGTTTACTACGAAATGGACTGAGTTCCAGGTTGTGATAACAATTGGATGTACGATACTGTTCGTCATGACCATGCAGGTCATGTTAGACGAGGCGGCCGGCAACGGACAGGGCCTTCAGATTCAGGACCACTGGATGCCGCCACTACGTGCATTTATAGATGACATGACTATAATCTCGGGCAGTGAGGAATCTGCTCGCACGATTCTGAAAAGGTTGGTCAACGCTTTCGAATCGTGTGGAATGCAGTTTAAATCACAGAAGTTTGTCAATCCTAAAAAGTAAGGAGGCGGTGATCAGTTTCTCGGTAGCAAAGAATCAGATCTCCACGGTTCTGGAGGAACCGATGTAGAGCCTCGGTCGCGTTACGTTTCTAAGTTATCTAATAGAGCTGAAGTCCGGCGATAACTTTATCTATCCTTTATGGATGTTTGAATTATGTTTTTGATGTATTTCCAGTCATGCTTGATGTATTCATTCCTCGAATTTCTCAATGGCATATTCCTCTGCTTCTTCTTCATATTTCTATACAAGTACAGTTAGCACTTTCCATACAAGTGCAATTGGCACTTTCCATACAAGTGCAGTTGGCACTTTCCATACAAGTGCAGTTGGCACTTTCCACACAAGTGCAGTTGGCACTTTCCATACAAGTGCAGTTGGCACTTTCCATTTAAGTGCAGTTGGCACTTTCCATACAAGCGAGTTGGCACTTTCCATAAAAGTGCATTTGACACTTTTAGTTTTTACAACCAGGGGACGATATCTGTGCTTTTTGGACGAACACATCCGATTTCAGCAAACATTTAATTAGTATTCTTTTACGACATGCTAATTAAAAACCAGCGAGTCAATTGTTAAACCCTCAAAATGTGTCCCGGAGGAAGAAGTATCGTTGTGTCTCTTCAGCATTGAGCTTTTTTTGGTGCGAGTGAACAGTGAGGGGACACATATAGATACTTACGGTGTGAGGTGAATGGCGCTGCGAGGAATTACCAGGGGATATGGCCAACGCTCAATACTTAAGGGTATGGCGAGACGGATATACAATCAGATATTTACTGGGGCCATTTTAAACTTTTTGTTTGCTGCTGAAGATGGTGGTGACGGAGCGGTAATGGGACCGATCCCTAATTCAACATTCAACATTTGACAATAACCTTCAGACACTGAATAGCACTTTAAACCTCCATTTTACAATGAAAATGTGTGAAAGCTATAAAAATATGGTCCTTTACCTAATTCTTGGCATGTTTGAGACAGCAATGACACCCAGAAAGGTCCCGTTTCCACGCCTTAAGGCCTATTGTGTGAACGGTGCTAGTTACATATTACAGCTGTTAAAATCCATGTTAATGTCGACCAGAAGGGCAAGAAGCAGAATCTTATGTCCCAGCTGACAGCCGAAGCGTTGAGAGAAAAAGTGAAGAAGAAGTACAAGCAGAACATTATGTCCCAGCTGACAGCCGAAGCTTTGACAGAAGAAGTGAAGAAGAAGTAGAAGCAGAACCTTATGTCCCACCTGACAGCCGAAGCGTTAACAGAAGAAGTAGAATCAGAATTACCACACAAATTGGATTACCGTTTGAAAACCGCTGACAGAGAGAACGTATCTTGGTCACCTTTGTATTCCAAGGGAACATCCTCGACATCGCCCTCTGAAAAGACAATGTAAACATCTTGTATCCCATACATATTTAGTTAACAATGTCACAGACAGAAAAGAGGCAACAGCCATGGTTTAGGGGCTAGACGCTTGCCTGCGTATCGGAAGGTCGAGGGTTCTGTTTCTAAAGGGAATTGGACAATTGAAAAAAAAAAAAAAAGATGCCCTTGGTTCCCAGTTTGTCTCAGCCTTGAGTGGGTACTAGGCACAGGAAAGGGAAGTAAAAGCGGCCGACGTGATGCTGACCCCATCCCGCAGCAAGTGCCGTTTGGTCTATAAATTATAGGTTTAGCCCTATATGCCTAATAAGCCTAAAGGCGGGCGAAACGGGTGTTTATTTAACAGACAGATAAGAGAACAAACAACTAGTGTGAATATATAACACAGACATTGACTCGAAAGTGGAGATTCAGGTTTTTATGTGATAAGGCATGCGATAAAGCTTTAAACAAAATGTTAACAATTTATTGCCTGGAAGAAATGACATTTTAAGTTTTGTTTTTGCAGTTCAGTTTTTTGCGATCAAGCGGATGACGCGTCGCAGTTCGACAAGATGTAAACAGCATCTGAGTGAGCAACTATCACCATAGTCTGGTCCGAAATTCGTGTCCTCACAATTCAACATATTTCTTAAAGAACTGTGTACAGATAAACACACTACTGGACGTAGATTTGCCTAGAAAAGCCACACAACAGCCAGGAGCTGTTGGAGTTGGTTCTGCAACGTCTTGTAAAGGATACGCAACTAACCTTAACCTTAACGGATAAACACGATTTTTTACGTGTGGCCTTAGATTTCCCATATCCTTATGATCTGTAAATTATCAATGCACAGATGCAGTTTATTAACGCTACGGAACGTAGCAGGGGCTGGACCTCGGTAGACTGAAGAAGAAGAGACTATATTTTAAATAGGAGAATCATCCTAGAGAAGTGTAGAGAATACAAGATAGATCTTCATAAGTGTTTCACAGACTACAGCAAAGCATTTGATTGTGTGCAGCATCATAAACTATGGCATATAATGAGAGGCATGGGATTTCCAAAACATCTGGTGCACTTAATGGAATCTCTTTACCACGAACAACAAGCAGCGGTCAGAGTAGCTGGTGAAACATCAGAATGGTTTGAAGTGCAGACAGGGCTGCATTCTTACCTCTCCCTCTTTGACATTTATGCTGGAAATGTTATGAGAAACGCAATTAGCGATGAGGCATGTGAGAGCTTTGAGCCACTAAAAATCGGAGGTAATCCTATCCAAGAACTCAGATATGCAGACGACACAGTTCTCCTTTCCAACAGTCTACAAGGTTTAGAAAAATTAGTGCTGGTTGTCAAAAAGCACAGCAAAGAAGTGAACCAGTTTCTGAATTAAAAAAAAAAAACAAACAATAATTATGTCCTCAGTAAATAAAGCATACGTATCACAATCGAAATTAAAGAAATATAAAATGTAACAGATTTCGAATACTTGGGCTCTATATAGTGAACAACATTGGCGACTGCTCAAGCCAAGTCAGAAGAAGACTTGCATTAGCAATGCAGAGAATAAATAGCATGAAGACCCTATGACAAAGCGCTAGTAAATTGGTTAAAGTAAAAATCTTGAGATCATGCATTTTCCCTATAGCAACTTACAGTTGTGAATCTTGGACTCTCACTAAGTCACTGGGAAACAAATTGAAGCTTTTGAATTGAAATGTTATAGAAAAATTCTTAGAATACCATGGACCAGGAAGAGGAAAAACATCGACATTCTGAACGAGTTGAACATCAAGGAGAACTGGCTCATAAACATCATCCTGTCCCGAAAGTTGAAGAATTTTGGCCACATCTAACGTCATGGTGGCTTGGAAAAGACAGTGATGGAAGGCTCAGTTTGTGGAAGGCGAGGCAGGGGTCGACCACCGCGAAGATGGACTCAAGACATTGAAGATGCATTGGCATTAAAAGCACATGGGGCTAGAGAGCTGGCAAGAGAGAGAGAGATACTTTCAGGCGTGCCGTGAAGAGAGCGACGTTCTGTAAAGGACTTTCTGATTGATGAGTATGTTAATGTATTTTATTTATCGATAAAGGCTATCTGGCCGCAAAGTTTAGTCGAATAGTTATGATTGTATTATTATATAGACAACAGTCCTAATTTCCGGCTTTTATTCCTGTTGGCATGTTACTGTTACAGCGAATTTTTTTACTACTACTAATACTACTACTACTACTACTACTACTACTACTACTACTACTACTACTACTACTACTACTACTACTACTACTACTACTACTACTACTACTACTACTACTACTACTACTACTACTACTTTTTCTTATACTACTAATACTACTACTACTACTATTATTATTATTATCAACATTACAACTGCTCCGCCTCATCCCGTATACTGCCCCTTTCCAATTTATCATTGCACATGGATTCACGCGTATCTGTGTTTTTAAGTTTCTGTTCTGTAATTATGTATCAATATATTTAATTTTTGGTCTCTTATGTGAATTGTTTTAGAACGGAGCGATCTGCTATCTAAATGTGAGGTCACAGGCAAACATTAGACTTTTAGTCAAGGATCACAATCACACATCTCCGCCCAAGAAGCTGTTGTGTCAAGCTGCCAATGTTTTTCGAAAATACTGAACTGTTCATGTTCAAGAACCGTCTTGTATCCCCATTGTGATGACCTTATTAATTCAACACGTTATTTGTAGCGGAATCGGCAAGTCACCAGTAGATGTTGTAAGCCTGAACACAAAATATGGGACTCTACATTACCTAATTTTGATAGTAGAGAGATACTTATTCAGCCGCTGATATCGCCATCTATACGACAAAGAAGATGGTGTGTATTTAGCAGATCCCGAAGACAAGCGAGAAATTATTACAACAAGCGCCGAAACGGGAAACACATGAACTGAGGAAACCAGAACTTCCAAGAGAAACGCTAAATCCAACGTTTAGAACAGTGGCCAAAGGCGCTGTGTATACATAACATTGAATCAAATTTATAACAGTGACCTGGACACGGTGAGTCGAATAATATCCCTGTTATACAGACGCCCCATGCTTGTATTAGACCTGATATAAACGTGCAGATGACTGTTAAGATAATTAGCTGATCTCGTTTATCC